TGCCCTTAAGGGTGAACCTGTTGTGCCCCTGTGGCGAGATGTTCTGCTCCTGGACTAGCTGGTTGGATCTATCCTGTACACTCTCCCCTGCAGGGATTGCAGCTGCAGGATTACACCTCAGGCATGTATGCCAGGACTGAGCTGTGCCTGGAGGGGGCAAGGTGAAGTAGGAGGAAGAGGAAGCTCTCTGCACACACTCATGAGACCTGGGCTAGGACTGGGTCTGGGGGCTCCGGGACGGGGCAAAAATTCCTACTCAGTGGGCGGGGTGGGGGAAGCACTTTGGAGTGGTGGGTGGCGGCCCAAGGGACTGGGAGAGGTTCTGACCCACTCTGCACCTGGGCTGGGACTGGTCCCGCCGGCGCAGAGTAGCAGGAAGCTCTCTGCACACTCACCGGACCTGGGCTAGGACTGGGTCTCATGATGATGTTTTTGATACAGGGACTTGCTATGCAGTTCAGACTCATAGTGATCCTCCCGTCTCAGCCTTCCTAGCACTGCGATTGCAGGCATGTGCCATCCCGCCCAGTTCTGGGGCCTGCACAGCTCAGCATGCCTGGAGTTCCAGGATCAGCACAGCATGCGGTACTGGGGGTTGAACTCGGGACCTTGTGCTTGCCAGGCAGGCACTTATGGCACCGAGCAATCTCCCCAGCCCTAGATTTGACTTTAGTGATGATGATCATGGCAATTTTTAGGATTGTTTATTTTGATTAGTGAATATTAGTTATATAGGTTAATGAATTAATTTTGGCAAATTTGTGCATGGAGTTTTTCCCCATATGTAGTTGTGAACACATTTTGATCATTTTTAACCTCTACCTCTAATAATGATGATTTTTTTTTTGCATTTTAGGGAAGGGTTTACAGGGTATTCAGGGTCTCACTAGACTTGTAGTGATCTACTAGTTTACAGCCTTCCAAGAGCTGGGATTACATGCGTGTGCCACCATGCCCAGTCTCAGTCGCTGTCTCAGCACGCCCCAGGGTGGGGCCTGCACAGCAGGTCTGGGGATCGAACCCTCTGCCTCTGTGCCTGCTTGCAGGTGCTTTAGTCTGCTGAGCTATTTGGCCGGCCCAATGACGATAATTTGTAAAAATGCTAGCCACATCATACTTTTTTCTTAGTATGTGTACTTTCTCTTTTTGCTTAGTACACATTTGTTTTCTCTAATCCTGGCTTTTCTTCTCTGTTCCTTCTTTTGTCAATGTAGAAAAATCGATGGGACCAATGAGGAGGAAGATAACATCGAGCTGAATGAGGAAGGGAGGCCTGTGCCCACGGCCAGGCCTGGCCGCCCGCTCTGTGACTGCCACTGCTGCGGGGTCCCTAAGCGCTACCTCATCGCCATCATGAGTGGACTGGGCTTCTGCATCTCCTTCGGGATTCGGTGCAACCTTGGCGTTGCCATTGTGGAAATGGTCAACAATAGCACTGTGTATGTGGACGGAAAACCAGAAGTTCAGGTCAGTATCACTCTAAGACAGTTTTTCCCATATGTAGTTGTGAAGTGCTTTGCTACGTGAGGCTACTACAGTCCACTTGCTGGACCCTGTGTGTGACCATGGGCACAGAATGGTCAGCCACACAGACCAGGCCCTTGTCCTCATGGGGACATTGAGTGAATGAGGACAATTTGGGGCCCAGGGTGCTACCCTGGGGGGGGTATAAGGGGCCTTGGGCTCATCCAGGGGAGGGTCTAGTCCCAACTTCATTACACTGAGAGAATTCTCAGAGAAAGTGATAGCTGGGCCAGATGAAGAGAGTGATTATGGGGTACGGTAAGAATGAAGAGACAGGAACATCATGTATAAGCTGTAAGGGAGAGAGAGAACTCATGTAAGGAGTGCGGCAGGAACACTACTTTTCTGTACCACGAGCACTTCTGGTAACCTGGTGCTAATTTATTAATACTTTGTCCAAAAGATTTTCAATTCTTAACATGAAAATGAGGAACTATAAAAAAAGCTGAATATGATACAGATATTGGGGCCAATGAGATAGCTCAGTGGACTAAACACCTGTCTAGGCAAGCGCAGGGATGGGGATCCAATCCCTGGCACTATATGCTGTGCTGGCCCCACTACCTGGGCACACTGAGCTGGCTACCGAGACAACATGGTGATGCACCCCTGTAATCCCAGCACTGGGGAGGCTGAGACAGAAGGATTATTATGAGTCCGAGCTGCATAGTGAGACCCTGTACCAAATACATAAATAAAATAAAAAAGAAATAAAAAATACAGATACTAAAGTATTTAAAAATGAAATGTATAATATAGTAACCTATGGGCTACTGTTTTATTTGTATGTTTTTGAGACAACATCTTTTTTTTTTTGAACTGAGGATTCAACTCAGGCCCTTGCGCTTGCCAGGCAAGCACTTTTTCTACTGAGCTATCTCCCCAGCCTCAAGAGACAACACCTTGTGTAGTTCAGGCTGGCTCTGAACTCACGATGTACCCCAGTCTGGTCTTAGAACTTGTAGCAATCCTCCTGCCTCAGCCTCCTAAGTGCTGCAATTATAGGCATGTGCCACCACAGCCAGAAACATATTGGCTTTTTAATTAACACAGCAGATGACAAAAATCTAGCAATGGATCTAAAAATTTCTGTAGGGCTGAAGATGTATCTCAGTGGCAGGATGCTTATGATACTGGGAACAACTACCCTATGGTTTGAATGTATTTATGATTACCATAGCGACAGAATCACAGGTACCTATCATTCTGCTCCAGCTTGTTGTCTATACTCATGTTTGCAGAAAATGCTAGATTTGAGCTTGTAGTCAGTGGAAATACAGGTGCTGACTTCTGTTCACTCGGGTTCGCAGACCCACAGGAGTCCATCCGTAGACTCCCGATCTCTCAGTATGGAAGTAGTGCACTGAGAGATAGAGGCAGCACAGGACACAAGGGGCCTGGTGACCATGTGGGGACTCGTGGGTGGCCTTCAGGAGAGCCAGAGTTATGCCATGGAGAGGCCAGGCTGAAGTGAGGAAAGAGAGGAGGTGTCAGTATGCATACCCAGTAGGATTCAATAACCCAATCTCAGGAGTCCCTGGAAACTTACCATGTAGCTTAGGCCTTACATAAGATCAAAAGAAGTCCTGAGGTTACGGGAGAGAAAAGGCAAGCAAAAGCGTGTCCCCAGTGGAATCCAGCAAAGATATAAGGGGCATAGGAACATTATGGTGAAATATGAATTAAAAAATCTTATTATAGTAAAAGGCACATTGCCATTAATTCCCCTCACAATACTCCCCCTTGCTTCAAACTCTGATCCCCCCATTCTTGCCACTTCTGGCACAGTTCTGGAAGCCCTCTTGCATGTCTTTATTCACACTGTCGTGGCTGCCCGAATGTCCTGAATTGAGTCAAAATGTTTGCCTGTCCTGGCCATTGTGACGCTGGGGAAGAGCCAGAGGTGCACAGCACCAGACCCCATGGCCTAGGTGAGCCAGGACACGTCGTAATGACTTACAAGCCTGCCTCCCCTCTGCATGACATTTGTATTTTTTTTTTTAATTTTATTTATTTATTTATTTGAGAGAG